CTTATGTAGACCAGCGTGCCTTGTGTTTGTTTATACAGTATTGTATTGTGTGTTTCCCGAGCATTACTGGTGGTTTGTTTCCAAATGAATAGGCCTAGTAATAAACAGCCACATTCTCCTGTAAGTGAGGGAACGCTTATATGCGATTTGTGTGAAAGTGGTGTGAATGTGAATGATGTCAACAATGACAATACTGATGTCGAATTACTAGATGACATTGACTCTTCTGGGTCAGGGAGTAGTGATGAAATGGTCGACTACACAGACGAGGACCCAGATTATGACCCAAGAACTACTCCAAGGCCTCGATTCCAGCTATCCTTGCCTCGTCCAAGAATCAATTTTGATTTGGACCTCCCCGGGACCTCCAGGGATGGACATTTTTCAAGACCTGATTTGGATGACTCTTGACGAGGATGCAGATGATCCGGCACCTGTAATGCCTCCTATTTATAACTAATTCAAGAGGCTGTTCAAACCTACGAGGAAGAGCTACAGGGCGTGGTAGGGGCCGTCATAGAGGAGGTAGCCATCCAGAAATTCGTCCACAAAGTCCAGAAAGTAGTGATTGGGAAGAAGTGTTTGATGACGTTGACCGTGGATATGAACATTCGTTTATTTTCAATGGCAGAAAAGGTATTCCCAGACAGCTTCGAGGGAAATATGATGTAGGGAAGAAGGTGTACGTCCGAAAAGGGCCAATCCTACAGATGACATATAGGGAAAAACCGACTAATAGGACACAGTTCATAATAATGTCAACTAATGCCAAAGCCAAAAATGTAAGATATACAATTAGGAGATCTGGAAAAGTTATCATCAAAAACAAACCCCAAATTGTATATGAATATAATCATGGGATGGGGGGCATCGACGGCACAGATCAGATGTTGCACACTTATTTGGAAGAGAGGAGGACAATGAAGCACTGGAATAAAATGGTATTTAACATTTTTGGAAGAATGGGCCTGAACAGCTATGTAATTTATAAGATGAACACAGACAAACCAATGTCCAGGCTACAATTCCAGATAGCTGTCATTGAATCATTAGCAGATGTTTGGCTTTCAGAAAAAAATCAAGCACGAGGTGAGAACGGAGGAGGAGATGCGCCGCAAGGAAATCGAACGTGTGGAGTGGAAAAGTTAGATGGAAAAAGGGAAAAGGATTGTATTGAATGTAGTGGATCTAAAAACGAAGAGGGGAAGAGGAGGCGCTCCAGGACTGTCTGCGTCAAGTGTAAGAGAGGGCTGCACTTGGACTGTGTCACGCTGCACAACTGCAAGTTTTAGTTCGAAAAAAAGAAACAAAAATGTACAATATATGTAAATAGTAGATATTAAGGAAACGTTTTATTGACTTGACATTTTTATTTTTGTGAATTTACTTTTATTTAGTGTTTCTCAAGATTTTAAGTGAACTTACATCAAGAGTTTCCAAACTTTTGTCCTCCAGTTCTTGAGCCGCTTTCACTTACATGTAAGTAAAATATGTTTTTTTTTTATGTTGTTTATTTCCTTAAGTTTTATTTTTTACTAAACGTTCATTATATTTCAGCAACAAGAATATAAAAAATACAAAAAACCACATGTAAATGCCTCGCACTATTGAGTTTTATTTTTATTTTAGGGTGTAAATGACAGATTTTTGCAATAACGCTACTTTTTTTCTAAAATATTTTTTTATTATTATTTATTGGTCAACGTTAATGAAAATTGGTGTACTGTGACAAAACAACATAGTAAATCGAAATATAGTATTGGTTAATGAGTTAAAAGTGTAATTTAGACCAAATTTTATAGTTTGAAAAAATAAATATGTTATATTAAAATTTTTATTCTATATAATTTTATTAGTTGTACAACAATTTTTGACCAGTTTTCATTGAAATATATATCATTGTTTAGAGCACATATTTATCTTTAAAACATAAAAGAAATAAGGTTCTATCCATATTATATGGGAAGTTATAGTTTTTTTTTTTTAAAAAACATTGCAAAATCACATGATTTGGCCTGGCAATTCTGGTTGTCATATGGCTAATAGCCCTGGCAGCTGAAGGTTACACACAGAAAACTCAGCTGGCCGTTCTCGCACAGAAAACAGCAAAAGTGCATGGCATTCAAAGGGTTAAGTCCTTTGAAGTTAGGTTAGATTAGGGAAGTTAAAGTTTAGGTTATAATGAATCAAGTTGTTGATTTACCTATATTATCTCCAGATTATTTATGTACTTTGTAAAAAGTACTTCAAACACAATAAATAATCATTTCAAAAATGCGCACATTTTTGAAATTAGGCTATTATTTATTGTGTTTGTAGTACCTACTTACTTTTAACAAAGTGCATAAACAATCTGGAGATAAAATAAATCAACAACTCGATTCATTATAACCTAAACTTTACCTTCCTAATCTAACCGAACTTCAAAACACTTAATACGGTCACGAGTCCGCATAACACCTAACCTACACATGTCTAAATAAGCACTGAAGTAGTTCATAATCAACGCTCAGTTGAATTTATAAATGCCTCTTTGTCCTCTTTGTATAAACTTACTCTCCGTCATACCGTAAAACGGGGTGACTTGATACCACTTTTGAAGTTTACACCATTGCATGTTTGTAACTAAGCACATTAGAACTAATATTTTTATATACTTATTACAGCCTTAGCTTATACTAACTATTTACAAAGTAATATATTTTTACCATGGTTACAAGTGAAAGAAAAAAAAAATATTGCCGGTTCAAGTCACCCCTGCAAGTGGGGTCACTTGATACCAGCCTATATGATTGCATGTGATTTCAATGTAATACAATATTAGGCTTATTTAAGGGGTGATTTGAGTCCATCTTTTTGTTCTGAATATTTTGATATTTTTTATATATTTTTAGCATAATTATTACTGAAGTTATTAATAAAATTATAAACCAAAACGCGGGGTTTGTTGGTAAACCTATAAAAAAATCTGTAAAATATAATATTGGACCAAAACACAGTATTACTTAGGTACCTTAACATAAACTAGAAGAGTCGTGTGTTCAAACAAAATAATAACCAAAATTTTAATTACTTATTTTACATTTTTTTCTTCTTAGTGAAATGTTGCAATTTAACACGTCGCCGCAGTTATACTTATTGAAAAAGTGGTTTAAATTTAAAAAATGTTTCTTTCTCAAATATTCAAGAACTGTCAGCTTTAAAGTAACTTAATTAAATTGTTCATTATATACAATATTTACAGGGCTTCTTAAACACATTTATTCATTGATTTTGTCCTTCAGCCTAAATTTTTTCATCTCGAGGTCTGCGAACATTCCCCTCACGTTAATAATGGGTAATGGAGGTTTAATGGTTCTTTCTATCACATTTGTTATACCAGCATACATCTGGATTGGTAAGTCATTTAAAATGGTTTGGGCCACTCATTGACATTGAAGTTATTTTTTAGTCCTCCCCAGAAACTAAAATTGGGCTATTGTAAGAAAGGCATCTATCATGTAGCCTACAGCCAATGCGGTATCAAGTCACCCCGACGACATGAAAATTATGTTGAGTTTTGATACGACGAGGTTTATGACAATCCTATAATAGATAAGAGATAAAACTATGCTGATAATGTAATTTGAGAAGTTGAAAAAAGAGAAAAAAAATGCCACAGGTTTCACAGAGTTGTTGTTCTGAAAAAAAGTATAATATTATTCGGGTTAAAATTTTCGGGAAACTTTTTTGCTTTTAAATTTTTTTATTTTCTTTTACATTCAATTTTGTTTCAATTGAAGATATTATTATACCATATTGAAGCAGCTACCCCAAGGTAGCCTATTAGGCTTCAAAAAAAGTTGAAGTGTACAAGTAGGCCTAATTTATTAGGTAGTAAGTTAATTACGGTACAAAATTAAAAGTTTAAAACTTTTTTTAGCTTATGATTTCAAGTCACCCCACAGGCCTCAAGTCACCTCATTTTACGGTAATAGGTTTCTTCTTCTTCCCTAGACGATCCTTTCAATTTCAATCGTTCATGTTTGTATTGGTCAGTCAATTCACAGTAAAGTTATGGCAACAGAGACCAGCCGACAAGAGGCATTACAGTAACTTAATAAACTTTAAAAAACGTAGTAACTTAGATTCAGTTTTTGTGGCAGCAGAAAAACCTTTGCACCATTATTTTCAGGTTAAAATCTAGTTTCCAATTATATATAACTTACTATAGAACGCTTGGTCACCCCCATCTAAATAATTTCCCTTAACTCTTTAATACATCGTAGATTAGGCCTAAGTGTTGACTAATCTTTGTCACAAATCCAAGGGATTGTGGCATGAAAGTTAACTTAGGCCTATGTCATTAATTCATCAACCTAATGAGTTTAGGCCTCCAGGCCTAATAACTTAAGCCTAGCCTAGGCCTATTAAGTTGTTGTGTCTCCGTTATACCATAGACAAAAAGAATTAAATATAGACTGTCAGCCGTGCTGCAGTTACCATAGGTTCCGGCGCACACCGCTGTAGTTTACGTAGCGCGTACGCCGTAACTACATGGCGCTCCAAGCGGTGTGCGCCAGAAGCTATGGTAACCGCAGCACAGTTGACGGTCTATATTTAATTCTTTTTGTCTGTGGTTATACTAACCAACAATTTGTCTTGCTGTCTTGCTAAAAGCTAAATCTTGGTCAATCGTCTATCTGATAGGTATTTGACTAGGCCTAGTAAGAAGCATAGGGAAGAACCTTAGTTTCAAACCGAAAAGAAATGATTAATTGGTTTAGGGTGAATTACTAGGCCAGCATTCAGGACAAGATTATTCTTGACAGCCCACCTGACTGCATCAGAAGTAGGTTTAGACCTTTTAATTTTTAAATAAACTACCTATTTCGATTGTTGGAATAGATTATGCTAAAAAAAACTCGAGGAACTACAAAACCAAGCCAAGCAGGCATGACAAACTTTCCATCCAGGAGAGGACCCACCTACCTTCCGTAGCTGAAATCAGGACAACTTACCGTGAGGTTTTCATCGATTTGTAGAGGAAGTTGTCTTCGTGATAGTTTTTGATCATTGTTTCTGTAAACGTCAACAAGCTTTGCCATGGTTTACAAACAAATTTACACCTTAAATGTAATAATATTATAGAACAAATTTTCTAAAATTCACTGAGATAAGAGATCATCTTCCACTTCCTCTACTGCCTACTCTCTCGACTCGAGTTATGGTTGGTTCGGTTCAGGTTCAGGTCGCTGTTCTGTTCTTGGTTCTTCTGCTCAGTGTCAGCAGTGTTCTCTAAAGCGCTAGTAGTGCTAAGCAGTAAAGTAACAGAAGTAAGCTAAGTAGCTAGTGTTCTACGTGTTTCAGTTTCACTGCCACACTGCCTGAGTGATTTGATTGATAGCGGTACCAACTCGAGTTCCCGCAAGGCTCACGGGACGCTCCTTGACGTCATAGTAATGGCACGTTTTTATATTTCAGCTGTCTGTGACAGTGTGAGTGTCGGTGGTAGATGTAGTTGTCGTCTGCCTTTGCAAATGTCAAAGTAGTATCATAGATAAAACATACTCCCTTTAGACTAACCAACACAAGTAGACTTCTCATCCCATTGTAAATTTTGAAGCTCGTTTTTCATGTCTAGTTCAGGTACGCCACACTGGGCGCTAGTGTCGACGAAATTTGGTTTATATTATTTTAGGGTTAATTTCTTGATTTGTGCTTTACTGTTTGGTTAAATAACTAGGGGACAGCTTATTGTTTATGATTAGATCGTATTATTTGGTTAAACGAGCTTTTAAATGACTGTATTAACGGGAAACAAATTGTAAACAAAACACGACCTCTAACATAAACCGTACAGAACTAACAATAAAATTGTCTTCAGCTGTTCCATTAGGATGAGAAATCTACTAAGGGAGTAGTATGTTTTATCTATGGTAGTATCCAATAATCCAATAGTCAATGGTAATAGCTATTTACGTTAGGTACACGTTACGCAAGAGCATGTTTACATCACTTAGGTGAATTATGCAACTCGCTTCCATTCGTTGCTTCCATTCACCTGCGTGATGTAAAAACGCTCTTACTACACTTGTAACGTAAATAGCAATTACAGTTCTTGAAGTGGTACGGTAAAATATATACAATCAATTTTCGAATAAAAATAACTAAAAAATATTGAAGAGCTCTATTTGTAAGCTTGATAACCTCTCCATCTCCACTTTTAGGGGCGCGAGAAGATCAATCCATACTAAAAATATTTGGTAACTTAGCCTTAAAAGATGTGATTTTGCATAGCCTTATGACGCTTATCTCTGTTATACTCGAACATTTTTACCAAATTTATTAAATATTTCATATTAACTTATTTACATAATTTAAAGCGTCAACAACTTACTAGATTTTCCCCCTTAAGCTTTATTCCTTTCTAGGTAGTTTTTAAGAGAGCTTAGAGTAGTAGTATGGCGTAAAATATGGTCCCGTCACTCGTCCAAAATGTGTTTGAATCCCGCACTCGACTTCATTTTGTTCTGAAACCACTAACCAAAACATTTTTTGTTAACACAGTTTTATTTACAATCTAATTAAATAAATTAAATGGCCGTTTATCAACAAATAATGCATACACAGAGTAAAATAAAAGAATTTTAAAGAAGGAAGTAGGCCTACAAAGACCTCATGGTTGTGTGGACAGAATTTGCCATTTTATTACCGTTGCCAATTAGGGGTTATTTTTATTTACTAACGGGAGAGGCACACTATCTTTATTTATGATTCCTGTGAACACACTTTCAGTAATGGGGGTTGCACACTTTTTTTATTAATGATTCCTGTGAGCACAGTTTTTTGGCATGGTTCATTGATCTGTAGCTGAAATGGGCGGGCTGTGTCATTTTATTACTCTTACCAATTAGGGGTTATTTGATTAGTAACGGGGTGGCATACTTTTTTATCAATGATTCCTCTCAGCACACTTTCAGCACAGGTTTTTGGCATGACTACTCCATGGTCGACATTACTTCCACAGGGAAAAAATTAAAGGCAATATACATATAAAACCATGCCCTAAAATTAAAGATGACGAAGGATACGACAAATGTCGACCGAAGTCGGGAACAGCCACACAACCTATGAAGGTTGGCGGTGGGAGTAATAAGAACAAAAACCCACAGCCTTGTTCGGGGTCGTGGGAAGTAACAAACGAAACACTGAACTAGCCTACTATAAAAAAAAAAAACACTTGAACCATTGAATATGAGTCGTGAAATTCGCCGGTGGAATTAGTCACGGCTCAGGGACAAGGGTGTTTCTTTATTTCTCTCCTTTTGTTGTGTTAACATTAATTTTTGAATGAAGCGATTGTTGATGTTTAATCACTATTAGTGTAGTCCAAGTCATTATCATGTATGTTTGTTTCGTTTATTTATGTATTGTGTATGTTCATGTGGTTATTCCGTTCGTATAAATTTGGTTTGTCGAACCATTGATCATGTAAATGGTGTAAGAGAAAGAGAGAGACGAGTATGCGACGGTTGTTGCGTTTTGATATGTAAAATTTCTATATATAGAAATCGTGGAAGATTATCGTTTCGTTTTTTTGTCTTCTAAGTCAGCTCGGGTTCTGGTTCACATTCTGCACTTTCTCACTGACCTGCAAGTCGACCGCTGGAATTCTGTTGGGCTGTATTCGTGTCTTCAACTCCTTAGAGGTGAAATCTCAGGAGAACTGGTTGATTGCGACTCATGCTGAGGGCAGCATGGTTCAGAGGTGGGGGGGAGTGTGACGGCTCAAACGCCGCCATCCCCCAATTTTGGCCACTGGCATTAACTTCACTTTTATTTTTAATCAGGAAAATTCTGGATACTCAAATAACTTTATTAGCAACATATATCAATGTATTAGGAAATACAGGTTTCCTATGGATTCATTTTAGTAACGTTACAGTATTCATCAGCCAAAATTATATTATAAACCGTAACTCAGTTGAGAGGTGTATATGTGATCAGAGCTCGTAGCCGTAACACATGCACAACGCATGCGGTTGGTATCACTGCTGCGCAATGTTCAGAATTGTTGATAGGGCGCAGCACTGTACGGTGAATAACCTTCTTTTCTCCCTCTACTTCCGTCTTGCCGGGTGGAGCCCATGTAACGGTCTCAGTCGTTCTCCATCACGTGTGTGAATAACTGTTCGTAACTCTAGTTCGACTCTCTCTCTCCCTTTTGCAGTCGCGATGACCTTCCGGTAATATTTATTATTGTAACTATTGAAAGTAATGTAACAGTATAGTGTAGTATAAAGTGTAATCCTTAAAAGTGTAATTGGCAGCTAAATTACTTTTGTATAATAAACCATCGTTTTTCTCTAATCTTTTCGAACTCGTTATTAATCCAACATCTCCCACTGGATGCCTTGATGAACAACGAGAGCTCGAGCTACAGCTAACCCATTTTACTCAGTTAAGGACTTCATGAAATATAAAATTAAAGCGGAATCATTCATACTGTAAATCAAGAATTCTCAATCGTCATTCTCAATCTTTGTTACTTATAGATATGAACATGTTTAGTAATATTTTATCTAAAGTAATTTGACAATGCCTATTCCTATGTACAACTTGGTCAATGGCAATAAACTTTCTTATTCTTAGACTTTTAGCACAGTTTTTTTGGCATGGGTTATAGATCTGTAGCTGAAATGGGCGGGCCAGCCGTGATTCTGGCCTGCCCAAATACAATTGATTATATCATAATTATTAGAAGAGCACACATTTTTAAAACCTGTTATAAAGAGCATACTTTTACTTTCTTCCCCTATACCATAGTGGAGAAAGTATTGTTTTCGTCAACATTTTCGAGTTTGAGTTTTCAGTGGATATATCCGTTTTGGGTCCCCCTGGACCCAAAAAAGTGGTTTTTGAAGTGATGTGTGTGGGGGGGGTGTGTGTCTGTGTGTCTGGATGTGTACAGAGCTAGGGACTACACCTGTGGTCCGATTTCGATGAAATTTGGTATGTAGGTTCTAATCCATGATATCTACAGGTGTTTTTTTCATTTTTTTAAATTTTGATTTTTAATGGGGATTTCCCATAAAAACCCATAAAAACCGGAAAATCGGATTTTCTCAAAAATGGTCAAAACGATTTTGATAAAAATTTATTATGTTGTAGCCCTTTAAATTCTGAACAAAATGGTACAAATTCCATTTCTGTAAAAATTACGGTTCAAAAGTTATGGTAAATTATGTTATTTTCCCATAAAAACCCCATAAAATAACAAAAAATTGGATTTATGACAAAAACCGGTTTTGATTTTACATAGCATGTATGGTCCTTACAATTTTGATAGTTTTTTTCATTTTTTAGAAATTTTTATTTTTAATGGGGATTTTCCCATAAAACCCCATAAAATAACTGAAAAATAGGATTTTCCCGAAAATGGCCCGAACGATTTTGATAAAAATTTAGTATGTTATAGTCCTTTATATTTTGAACAAAATGGTACAAATCCCATTTCTGTAAAAATTACGGTTTAAAAGTTATTGTAAATTATGTTATTTTCCCATAAAAACCCCATAAAATAACGGAAAAATCGGATTTTCCCAAAATTGGCTCGAACAATTTTGATAAAAATTTAGTATATTATAGTCCTTTCAATTCCGAACAAAATTGTACAATTCCCATTTCCGTATACTAGTGTACCTCTTGCTCGAATTCGATAAATTGCGAAGCATTACAGGCGACTCACGAAGATTATGGAAATACTCACGATCTACACAACAGTTAGATATAATCAAAATCTTTTGTAAATATCTTGTCTTTTCTCAAAAAGCTGATGTTGTTTTTTAGTGGTTGTAAAAATTTTTCCCTCTCATAGCCGCATTAGGTTGTCTTTAATAACGATTATAAAGGAATAAAAACATTATTTCTTTTCTTCTACTTGGTTGTGTTCTATGACTTTTTCTATGTTTCCATTGTTTGCAAATCGGTTATTTCAATGATTGCTCAAGAAATGTAGCATATTGTTAATTTAGTTTTATTTTTAGCCCATATCAAATTGTCCAGGATTTCTCGCTTTTTTCCATTGTAATAATTTCACCAACCCAAGTTCCGTCTACAGATTACGCCAAAGAATATCATCTACGTACAATCTCCAAGAAGTGGTAAAAAAGGCAGAAACCAAGCCATACAATAGATATAAGTTAACTACATAAGAAATAATTTAAGAGTTACTGTGATATTAGGATTTTCCACTGATTTGGTAATAGAACATTATATTGCAAAACATGACACGATGCAGAATAAAATCGATTTTAAAATCAGAAAAACCCATTCCCATTGCAAATACTGTACTTCATTTTGAAAAAATTCAATAAAACACAATTTAAATATTAACAGCTGTTTCATTAAAAAGTAGTGTTGAATTATGCATATGGTAAACAAATTTGAAGATGCAACTTTAAAGGCTTCTGGGGCAGAGCCCCAAGGGAATTTGCCTCGTTCCTCTTTTGATGGCTCATCTATAGACCAAGAGTAGAGTGGGAGTAGAGTGTCATGGCGGATGGTCTCAGTGATCCAAATTGTGGCTCTTGCTTTAAAATAGTAAAAAGTAATAGTAATGGTCTTTTTTGTGACGGTTTTTGCCGCAAATGGTATCATATCGCCTGTGTAAATGTAAACAAAAATGATTATGACTTCTTGTGTCAGTTGGAAGATCGCTGCAAGTGGTTTTGTGAGTCATGCGATTCTAACCTAAAACGACTGCAGAAACGTATTTGTAATATTGATGAGTTTCTTAATTTAAATTCTATCGTGGAAAACTTAGTACATCTTGTCAAAGGAGTTGTTGATGATAACTCACAGCTAAATAAAAAGCTCGACAGGTTAATGTACTCATAGAGGCTGGCTTCTGATTCTGATTCAAATCAGATTTCTGCTGGCTCTGAAGAAACCGAAGTCGTGCAGATAAAATCAGCGTCAGGCCTAGGCCTAGTAAAATCTAAGACTGTAGATACTAGTGTACCTAGAGCCCTCAACTCAAACCCTGCAAAAAGTGGTAGCCTAAAACTCAAACTAAGTCATTCGAAGGCAATAGGGCTAGTTTTGCTGACAAAGTAAAATCCCTCCCTGTGCGAAAACGGTTTGCTGGTAATAAGCTTATGCCTATGATAGGAACAAAGACTTCACTTGAAACTGTAAATGGCCTAACCTTAAAAGTTGTGGAGAAAAAATCCTGGCTATTTGTCTCAAGAGTACAGCCAGATGTTAATGTTGAATCCTTTCCGGACTTTATGAAAAAGGGTGGTATAGAAGACGTTGTGTGTGAAAAACTATCTACGAGGTATCCCTCGTATGCCTCTTTTAAGGTAGGTGTCTCATCCAGTGACTACGATAAGGTATGGAAGGCTGGCTTCTGGCCCAAAGGGACCTTTGTGAGTCAATTTATTCCAAAACGGCCTATTAGTTCTAACACAAAGACTTTTTTAGGGAATCAAAACCAATAAAATCAGGGACCTTTGGTGATTCTCACAAACTCTTATTCTGTAATATACGTAGCCTTGACAAGAAATCTGATGAACTTGAAGTTGCTTTGGTGAGTAATCCACACGACTTCATCTGCTTATCTGAACATTGGTTGAGTGAAGTTAGTCTAGGTGTTAAGCGGATTAAAGGCTTTTCCCCTGTTAGTTCCTTTTGTCGCTCAGATCATAAAGGAGGTGGAGTTGCGCTGTATGTGTCTGATCAACTCTTAAATAGTGTTAAGGTTATTGACGTTACACAATTTTGCCTTGAAATGCATCATGAGTTTGCATGTGTAGCACTTGTAGCGCTTAAACTGCTTGTTGTAGGTGTTTACCGACCTCCAGCTGGCAATATGGATGCTTTTATCTCTGCCTTGGAAATGCTTGTCCTTAGCCTTGAAAACTTAAGGAGTAAGTATAACCTCATTGTGGGAGGTAATTTTAACATTGATGTGCTGGACCTTGCAAATCCTAGGACTGTGCGGTTTTGTGATGTTTTAAGATCTTTAAACCTGTATTGCACAAATTTTCAACCTACTAGGTATGATGCATGCTTATATAACGTAGCCACAGACTTGAGTCATGGACGCTTTGGAGTTGACGTGCTTTCCTGGGCGGTAAGTGATCATGATCCTGTATCTTATCTTTTGCTGTTTCTAGGGTTCAAGAAGACAATTTCTCTCCATTAGAGAAACAAACTATTGTTGCACCCTTAACTCAAGCAAGAGTGTTTGATTTTACTGAGCAATTCAGCCGGGTGAACTGGCACAATTTGTTGACGTACTCAGATGCTGAGAAAAACTTTAATACATTCTTTAATGTATTTTTAAACCTTTGTTTTCCTGTAAAGTGTGTTGTGTAAGCCAAAAGAAGAAGTCTAATTCTCAGAGGATCACCCCTGAAATCTTAGCAAAGAAAAAGTGGGTGATCACGGCTTATGATGTGTATAAAGTAAAAAGAACACAGCAAGCAAAGACTACTTATAACAACTTGAAAAAGGAGTATAGACTAGAACTGCAGGCAGCTAAGCAGAACTTCTATGGTTTACAAATTCAAACAGCTACCAATCCTTGTTCGGCTGCTTGGAGGATCATTCGTTCCCAGACCAAGCCCTTAACTACCAGGTCGACTAACGTTTCTCCGGATACGTTTAATAACTTCTTCCTAGACTCTGTCCAAGTGGTAAGAGATGACTTTGGTACTCCAGAGGTTACTGCAGTTCAGCTGATGAGCCAATCTCCCCAGGTGCAGACCCAACATAAATGGAGGCTAGTGGGGTGTGATGACGTCATAAATGTGGTCCGTAGTATGAAAAATACTAAGAGTAAGGATGTTCATAATATCTCTAGTGAATTCTTAAAATGCATTATTACTACCATTGCCTGGCCTTTAACGTATTGTTTTAATCATTGTATGTTACAAGGTGTTTTTCCAGCTTGCCTGAAGAAATCGAAGGTCGTGCCTGTCTATAAGAAAGGTGCGTGGGACGAGCCCGGGAGTTTCAGGCCTATCTCTCTTATTCCAATCCTGTCTAAAGTGTTCGAGTCCTTGTTGAAAACACAGTTGTGTTCACATTTTGAAGTCAACGGGTTGTTCTCTGCCTCCCAGTATGGTTTCCGGGCCGGTCTATCCACTGTGGATGCGGTGGACAGCCTGATTCAGCATGTCTTGAGCTCCTTTGAGTCGGGTGGCTTTGCTGGGGCCACCTTGTGTGACCTCAGTAAGGCTTTCGATACTGTGGATCATGACGTGCTGCTCTGTAAGTTATATCATTACGGAATCGGAGGTGTCGAACTGCAACTGCTCCGGTCATACTTGGGGGGACGTGAGCAGCTGGTTGTTGTGAATGGCCAGTGCTCTCGGTCTCGTCCTGTTGCCCATGGTGTTCCGCAGGGGTCTGTCCTCGGGCCTCTGCTATTTATAATAATGATGAATGATTTGCCCAGTCATGTTGAAGGTGGTGTGGTCTGTTATGCAGATGACACCACACTGGTTCATAGCTCAAAAAATTTTCAAAATCTTGAGGAACTCATGGAGCAATCCCTTGTACAGGCCTCGGTTTGGTTCCATGCTAACTTTTTGTCTCTCAATGAAACCAAAACACAATCTTTGGTCTTTACGCTGAAAAACATTAAACAAGATGTGACCTCTGTTAAGCTCCTGGGTATTTGCATTGATACAAAACTGACTTGAAGCCCTCATATAACCTTGGTTTGCAGTAAACTTTCCAGAGTTATCTTCCTTTTGAGAAGTCTAAGTAGTTGTCTAAATAAAAACTGTTTAAAAAAAGCCTATGTAGCTTTTTTTCAAGGAGTTCTTTTGTATGGACTCAGACTCTGGGGTGGGTCTGCTGAAATTAATGAGGTATTGCTAATACAAAAAAGAGCTGTAAGAATCCTAGCAAACGCTGAGTATGATGCCCCTTGCAGACCTCTCTTTGTAAATGAGGAAATCATGACTGTATGTAGTTTGTATGTTTTTGTTTCAGTTGTGCATGTAAAAAATGATCTCCAGTCACTTAGTCGTAGGGGTGATTATCATATGTACAATACCAGAAATAAGAACAATATTGATGTACCTTATGTTAGGTTAAGCAAAACAAAAAGAAATTCCAGTCAGTTAAGCATAAGGCTTCTTTTTTTTAACTTTATTTAATTTACAATCTGTTCAAGTTGAACAATAAGCAAATGATATAACTAGTAATACAAAAATAACTTGAAGAACATGAGCTAGTGATTGACCACCGTCAACACTAGCAAACAAAGAGAATTTTGATAACACTTAGCCGAATCTGAATGGTAGGTCCAATATCGTATGTCGCTTCAGTCTGTAAATGGTGTTGTGATTGTCCAATAAATTAAGTGCAAGATGATTTGAATAATTTTCCAATTTCATAATGTATTTTTCACTATATTTTGTAATTTCTTCTTTTACTGTTCGAATTTGAAGATCATTGTGAAGTGTTCTGTTGGTAACAAACCAAGGAGCGTTGACAATTTTACGTAATAATTTTGATTGGTAACGTTGAATAATTTCAATGTTTGAGGTACTTGCTGATCCCCAAAGCTGAATACCATAAGTCCAAATTGGTTTTAAAACTGTTTTGTACAGTAACAATTTATTTTGTGTACTGAGTTTTGATTTAGATCCAAGAAGCCAATTAAGTTTAGTTGTTTTTAAATTTAGATGTTGCCTTTTAGTCCAGATATGTGCCTTCCAATTAAGCTTTGCATCTAAGTGCATGCCCAAGTATTTTATTTCCGTTACTTGAGGGAGGTGAATATTGTTCATGGATACTGGAGGACATGTAGCCTGATTTAAGGTAAAAGTAATGTGTGCTGATTTATTTTCATTAATTTTGAACCTCCATGTTTTAAACCAATGAGAAATTTCATCCAAGTTTAGCTGTAAATTTGCTGTAGCTTGAGCTGGATTGTCGTAATAAGGCTTCTTAATCACATTTCTTGTACAGCTTGGAACCAAACCAACAGAAAATTCAAAAACAATCTTCGGGCACTTTTATTGGCTTTCCCACTCTATAAAACCAGCGATTTCTTCGACATTCCCAAGGAGACTGTGAGAGAGTTTTTCCTATGTACGTAAGTAACAGATTGTTTTGTTTTGTCTTGACAGTAGTTTTGTGCATGGTTTGTTTTTGGTTTTGTTTGCTGTGTGATTTTTGCATTTTAGTTCTAATTTTTATGAAAATTGTATATTGTTATTTGTTCTGACGATGCCTATTGCATTTCATGCCTAATGGAAAATAAAGCATTTCATTTCATTTCAAGACCTTTCTTTAGAGACCCCTACCAAGTTTCTAGGCCCAGCCGTTCTCTCAAATTAGCTGGGACAAAAACCCAGTTTTTCCTCCATAAGAATAACATGGGATGGGAATTCAAAGGCCACTGGGGCAGAGCCCCAAGGGAATTTACCACGTTTCTCTTTTGATGGCTCATCTACAGACCAAGACCTTTCTTTAGACACCTCTACCGAGTTTCTATGCCAGGCCGTTCTCTCAATTTAGCTATGACAAAGAAAAACAGTTTCAAATTAATATATAGATTTACTCTCACTGCTTACACATGATAAAGGTTGTTGACAAACTTATGGGAGAAAGTATGTGTTAGAATGCTAATACCGTTTATTATCTATATATGTTAATAGCTAATAACGTCTTCTTCGTCTGAGTTCGACGTAGTAAGCGCACTTAAGCATTAATACCCCCGCCGCAGCAAACCTGCCGACTATGAAATTGAATTTGACCCATTTATGAACAGAAATATTTTTTTCGGTTAAACCTTCATTTGATTTTTCATTGTTAGCAAGTCTGGTTAGTTTGGTTAGGTTATGATAGTTTAATTTTATAATAAAAATACCCCCGCCGCAGCAAACCTGCCGACTAAGCGAATTTCCATTTGTCTGAATTGATTTTCAGTTAAATATATTTTAATAACTTTAGGTTTAACGAGTACCTAGGTTTGCTGCTACAAGGAAACTAATAAAGTGTGTTTTTGAGTAAAATATTGATAGCTTAGTACAAAATAAATAAATTTGCCAAGTTTGATCAAAATATATCCATAAACAAGCAAACTACAACATTTGACAATACAGTATTCTCCATATAAGAATAACATGGGAATTTTAAATTTACAATTTTTTTAATTTTCTCCGTTACTAATAATCGAACAAAAATACTTTTATATACTAAATTATTTTTTTTTAAGCTCTTTAAAAAGGTCTAAAGAGAAATCGGGAAATTTTGTGTTTTGAGGGTCAAAAGTGAGAAAAACCAATTTTTACCCCATAAAACCCCCCGTAAAGCCCCGTTCCCATGGTCCGATCGTGCTGGTTTGCGAACTTATTCAAGTTTATCCCGCTTTACACCTTTAAACCAAATTTCATCAAAATCGGGCAAAAATTACTCAAGTTATCGCGTTCACGGACGTATATATATATATATATATACATATATAAAAAATTTTAACGAATGGTGTTTTTGGCCTCTGGGTACATCAAAATGAAAAAGTAAATCGGTCCCGGGTCTAGGTCTTACCATGCCACCTACGGTAATAGCTACTTCCCTATAGGGAAATTCGCTAAAACAACGTAACTGCACTAAATTTGCACTCCTCTGATTGCACAATCACAATAGACGCAACTGTAGTTGTAAAACAGTCACACCGTGTGCGGACAGAAGTTTTGTTTCAGTTGCAAACTGGTTCCAGACGCAACTGGTTTGCAACAGTTGTTGTAAAACAGTCACATCGTGTGCGCCGGGCCCATCTAAACAGATCCATTAAAGATATACAGTGAAGCTATTACACAAATAGCTGTTATCGCAGGAACTGTTCCAAGTCCAAGGCCTTCTGTGCATGTGGAAGCTGAGATGCTCGTGGGTACAGAACGTCGAGTGTCTATAGTACCACTACCGCTCCGCTACGCTGAATTTTTATTTCAGGATTAGTGTTGCCTTCAGTATTATTTTGAGGCTTCTGATTGGCTGAGGGAACATCATTACCGTGACGATACGGTAGATGCCAACGGCCTCGGTGGTGTAGTGGATAGAGTGCTGGGCTGATGTGATGATCCGAAGAACCCGGGTTCGAATCCCACCCGAAGCACTATCTTTTTTGTATTGGATTTTTTTCATTATCAACAAGTTTGGTTGGTTTAGTTAGGTTATGACGGTTTAATTTTATAATTAAAACATTATGAAATTGAATTTGACCCATTTATGAACAGAAATATTTTTTTCGGTTAAACCTTCATTTGATTTTTCATTGTTAGCAAGTCTGGTTAGTTTGGTTAGGTTATGATAGTTTAATTTTATAATAAAAATACCCCCGCCGCAGCAAACCTGCCGACTAAGCGAATTTCCATTTGTCTGAATTGATTTTCAGTTAAATATATTTTAATAACATTAGGTTTAACGAGTACCTAGGTTTGCTGCTACAAGGAACCTAATAAAGTGTGTTTTTGAGTAGAATATTGATAGCTTAGTACAAAATAAATAAATTTGCCAAGTTTGATCAAAATATATCCATAAACAAGCAAATTACAACATTTGACAATATTCTCCATAAGAATAACATGGGAATTTTAAATTTACAATTTTTTTAATTTTCTCCGTTACTAATAATCGAACAAAAATACTTTTATATACTAAATTATTTGTTTTTTTAAGCTCTTTAAAAAGGTCTAAAGAGAAATTGGGAAATTTTGTGTTTTGAGGGTCAAAAGTGAGAAAAACCAATTTTTACCCCATAAAACCCCCCCTAAAGCCCCGTTCCCATGGTCCGATCATGCTGGTTCGCGAACTCATTCAAGTTTATCTCGCTTTACACCTTTAAACCAAATTTCATCAAAATCGGACCAAAATTACTCAAGTTATCGCGTTCACGGACGTATATATATATATATTATATATAAATCTATATATATATATATATATATATATATATATACATATATAAAAATTTGGACGAATGGTTTTTTTGGCCTCTGGGGACATCAAAATGAAAAAGTAAATCGGTCCCGGGTCAAGGTCTTACCGTGCCACCTACGGTAATAGCTACTTCCCTATAGGGAAATTCGCTAAAATATAAAATTTAATTTGAGGCATTTATAATTTTATTCTATGAACAAAAATAATTTGGTTAGGGTTCACTTACTCTACGAATCATTGACACAATGAGCCTCCAAATATGTAATTCTTAAAACACATGGCTCACTTACTCTACAAATCATAGTCTATACGAGCTTCGTAAATAATATTGAAGGTTCACTTGCACTACAGGCTCGTATACTATACGAGCCGATCAAAAATATCAAATAAATTAAGAGGGTTCACTTACTCTACAGATCATTGTGCCTATGAGCCAAGCGTATGAATTCTTGAATAATTCAGGAATAAGCTCGTATAGTATACGAGCCAAAATACTGAATTTAAATAAATTACAGGAGTAGGCTCGTATACTATACGAGCCTATTTCATGATAACTATTACACAAATAGAAGACGGCTCACTTACTCTACAGTTCATTGGCACAATGATCTGTAGAGTAAGTGAACCCTCTACAAATATTAGAAGGCTCACTTACTCTACGGTTCATTTAGCTACTCGTCGCGCGGTTTGCAGCGCATCGTTGCAGGCGTGTATGGTAAACCAATACCGCAGTTCTGCCGTTCTGCCTTACTTCTGCCGTTTACTAGTCTTGCAGCGTGAAAGAGAGCTTGTTATGTTAATGCATTGTTGAATTTTTAACTTGTGTACTCGTTGCTAGAAATCAAGCAATTATCAAGTACCGGTACAGGAGCTATTTTAAGAGTTATTACAGACTTAATTTTCAATTAATTAAAAAGACTCACGTAAAAGCTTATGCAACTAATGGAATTACTTACTGTGTTATGAACATTTCTATATAATTAAAGTTGTAAATATTTTAAAATTGTTTAGAAGATTGCCTTTTTAGTGTTTTCTACAAACGTGTCTCAACTTATACACATAGACTGGTGGAGTGGTAATTTATATTTCTAATCATTTAACTTTAAATTATGAACGCTTTCAGTCACGTGAAGTTGAATTAATTAAACTGACATTAGTTTTTACCATAAATGATAAACCTTTTGAAATTGACTTAATAGCTTTGTATAGAAACTATAAATATGATTTTTATTTTTTCCGCAATGATTTGCAACGTATTTTGAGTAATTGTAAAAACACAGCTATTATGTTAGGAGATATAAATTTATGCATTTTAGAACAAAATAACAGTGTCATTGATTATTTAAGTATAATGAACTCATTTGGTTTTGAGTCGTTTATAAATGAGCCAACTTGGGGGAGAGAAAATTGGGTAAAGTGTTTAGACCATGTATTCATCAGAAGTAAGACTAATTTAATTTTTCATAGTAATTTAGAAAACTATGACTTTACTGATCATGCTGGAGTTAATGTAAATTGCGTAACAAGTTGTGATAGTGCTTTGAAAGAGGAGTTTGTCAAGGCTGTAGATCATTCAATTTTAAAAAGAAGGTTGGCTGAAGTGAGCTGGATGCCAGTGTTTGATTGTGAGGATGTTGATAAATCTCTAACAGTTTTTTACGATATTTATAATAAATGTATTGAGCAATCAAGTTTTTTAAGGCCTATTATTAGTAAAAATAGGCATCGAACTCCATGGATATCGGACACACTAATTAAAAAGATAAATGAAAAAAACAGACTTCACTCTCGATTGAAAAAGCACTATGACATACATTTGTTTAATAGATATAAAGAACTCTCTAGAGAATGTTCTAATTTGAAAAGACGGGAAAAAATTAATTATTACTCATCTAAAATTGAAGCAGTAAAGGGCTGCATCAAAGTCTTATTGGAATATATGCAAATCTATTATGAGAAAGTCAAAAAATGAACTAACATCGATTAATATAGATGATGAAATTGTACAGGTTGAGGGTAATGAAAAAATAGTTGCTGACTCATTCAATAACAATTTTACTGGTATGCCGGATAAGCTGATTAGAGAATTGTATGGGCCGGGATTCCCCGCCATGCCGGATATCGGTCTAGCGTGCAGCTCAAGGTTACGTTTATCTGAAATTACTGAGGTAGAATTAGAAAGTTTAATCTTAAGCAAACCAAATAAACAGTCTGTTGGCTTTGATGGTATTTCCATAAATACTATAAAAGAAAATGTTAAGATTTTTGTCCCAATATTACGTCACATTTTTAATTTATGTATAAAGCTAGGTTACTTTCCTTCTAGTCTAAAAACAGCACTCATTGTTCCAGTATGTAAGGCAGCTGATCCATTGCAAATGAATAATTACCGACCGATCACTTTTAAATACCTTTGCTAAGCTGTTAGAAACTTGTGTGAAAAGCCAATTAGTTAAATATTTTTCAGATAACAATTTATTTTCAAATAATCAATTTGGGTTCATGAAAGGTAAAAATACTGACCTAGCAGTTGAAAGACATATAAGCGAGATAGTTAATCATGTTGATGAGCGTAAACCAACAATAGGAGTTTATCTTGACTTTACTAAGGCATTTCACTTAGTTAATCAAGACATATTATTACATAAACTAAAGTTATATGGAATTCAGGGAAATAGTTTTAAGTGGTTTGAGACTTTTTTAAATGAAAGAAAACGGATGGTTAAAATAAAAAACGTTTACTCAGATGTATGTTCTCAAAGGCTTGGCGTCCCTTAAGGGGGGGTGCTTGGACCAATTTTATTCACAATTTATATTAATGACATGTTATCAATGGATTTAAAATCGAAGATATATGCTTTTGCTGATGATACATCTTTAGTATGCAGTGCTAACAATTATGATTTGCTGAGGATGAAAATTAATAATGATTTGGACGTAATATCAAATTGGGTGATAAGAAACAAATTAATCGTCAATACTTCTAAATCTAATGCAATGATATTTACTTACAAACCTCATTTGACAGAGTCGTTGAAAGAAGAGATCGATCTACGTTGTCATTTAGTTACTTGTTTTCGTGATTGTTGCTGTACAAAAATAAATTTTGTTGATTCGGTCAAGTATCTTGGCCTTCATATAGATTCAGATTTAAAATGGCATACACATGTTAATCAACCATGTAAAAAACGTAGAAAAATTAACTATAATTTCTTTCATTTGAGACAGTTTATTACTCCTAAACTTCTTAGAACGCTATTTATCCTGGTTTGAATCTACTCTTAAGTATGGTTTAATTCATTGGGGAGGGACGTTTTCAACAATACTTAAACCAATTGTAATAATGCAAAAGCTTACATTAAAAACTATTTGTGGTGTAAAGAAATTTGACTCAGCTGCACCACTGTTTCAGTACTTGGACGTAATGCAGCTAGAGAAGATATATTTATATTCAAATAGCTGTAACCCGCGGGCTCTGTCCCGTTTAACTTCTTAATTTTCAAGATTATCTCGTTCGCATGGCTCAATCACGTCCTGGTTGAAGTTTGTTCGCTACGCTCACTCACCTTTAGGTTGGAGCTCGTTCGCTGCACTCACTTGCCTTCAGGTTAGCTCGTTCGCTACGCTAACTCGCCTCCAGGTTGAATTTCGTTCGCTACTCTCACTCACCTTTTGGTTGCAAATTAGCTGTTGTCATAAATGTAAAAGAAATAATAGTGCTGCACCCTGTTGGTAATCCTTGTAACTTTAATGCCATTGAACATCATAGAACAGAACCAACTTGTTTAATTGAAACAGCTGTTAAGATTCAATAATTCCATTTCTCATAAGGTTAACATGGGAAACTCCAGAGCCACTGGGGCGGAGCCCGAAAGGATTTTTGAACTAAGAATATGCCTATATGTTAATCGGGAATGTGAGCTATCATCATGCCAAATTTCAGCCCAATCCGACCAGTATTTTTCGCGTTCACTT